TTTTGTCTCAGCACACTTACCAGTGCCTTGACGTATGGAGCAAGAATGCCCCCAACTCTCGACATCATCTCGCAAAATCCAATCGATAAATTCCTGATGTTGGTAGGAAATATTTCGCTAGCGTAAACGTATATGCTCATAAACGAACATGAGATAGCAAACTTTCCGAAGACCCATAACGTCGTGCGAACCCATATAATTTCTAGATAATAAATGTTTACATTAAGGAGATACAAAAGAACTAAATTTTACCTGGAGTAAATACGAGTATGAGAAATATCGACGCAGCACATATGTGCGCCAAGGCAATCACAATCCTCCTCCCATACCTACAAACCTAATCCAAGCTTTGTACCTATATGACCTTTCAATACCTGTCCATTGCAATAGGAGATAAAATGTAAGCTGGCAGCTCTACTAGTCCAATGAGGAAATAATTCAGATAGATATTGCCAGCAAAATGAGTACTGTAAAGTGAAAGACCGAAGTAAATGAATGTGTCGCAGTTCCTAAAAGTACTTGATGCAAAACCGATTGAGACTTTTGGTTAGTCATTTTTGAATTGTTGTTTTTATTGCTGATAATAGCCTTTTGACAGAGTGCAAATGCTCTTGCAGAGCCATAGTCCAACTCCTTATAAAAGAGATGCTCAAATTCTAATTCTATACTTTGAGGTTACAATCACAGAACCATAGCCTATCTGCAGGCTTCCGCTTTTTTTAGTAAGAATATAAAGTTCGATTGAGTCACCGAACGATTCGGCAAGGCACCAACTGTCTATCACTCACAGTTAACAGCGAACTTAGAAATTTCAGACGTCTCAGAAAAGTCCCCATGCAATCGAGGTTTGGTGATGGCAGTCATAGAGGCATCCGTCAGACCGCCGATAAACGTGGTATGAAAAATTGCGAGTCTTTCTTAAAACTTGTAACAAAGATTTAAAGAGACTCATGATTGAGCACCCATGATATTTGAACGTGGATGCTTTTAGTTTTATTTGTGTTCTAAGAATTTCAAACACTCTAAGCTGATCAGGTAAAGTTGACATTAAGATTCTTGACGGAGTATTTTGTGCAAGACCATTAATTAGTTAATCAGCCTACGTAACGAGCAGTGAATGTTTTTGAAGCGGAAGTCTAATGCTGTCATCAAACTAGTTTCTTAAAGTTAAAAATGACGGGGATGGAAGATCTATGTGAGCTCCGCAGATTAGAATT